ATCAATACAACTATTGCTATCGTTAATGTACAGATCACTAAATGATTCTCTTCGAAAATTCGACCCAATGTACTTAATAGTGAAGGGAGAAAGAAAATTCCGTCCTGTAAGCATTTTGACTTTAATGAAAAGATATCGTACATATCATATTTGAGCAGATAATCAATAGTCGAAATAGTGAAAATTATGGATGAAATGTATTTGGGGCATGTGTAGCGCAGTAGTCAGAGGTGCTTTGGAAGAATTGCATAGTCACTGGCTTAGCATGGCCTTTCGAGTTAATCAATTCCTCGATCTCTCTAGGATTTGTGAATTGGTACCAGACTATGAGAGAATAAAAATTATTAGCCTTGTTTTTGTTTCTACCAAAAATCACCTATCATTTCTGCTGAGGTGTGATTGTTTAAAACATCGATAGAGTAAAAGCAAGGCTGAGAGAAGGGCTAAGCAAGGCTCACGGTTGCTACGGTGGAGAGAAGGTGAGCCTCTGTGAAGAGAATCTGGTTCTATTCTGACATGAGGTCTCGCATTTGGTGCATATCATTTCTGAACGTTCAAATTAACCCGCCCGAAAACTGCTGAATAACGAACTGAAAGCCAAGTAGCAAAATATGCTAGTTCATTACCTCTACTTTCACCCCTGACGCACAAAAAGAGCGTTTTTCTTCGTATTTTTGTTGAGCAAACGCGAGGGGTTACTAGAGACATTGTACATTGTACAGTATGTTACATTGTACTTCCACGTGATTTCTGTGCGGTTGGTCTCTACGTGACATACTTAGTGGAAGCCTCATAGAAAGCGGCTCTGAAGAAGGCGAAATCCGCCGAAACGTCAGCTTAATCGTGAACAAAGAATAGTAACACCTCGCGTTTGCTCAACAAAAATACGAAGAAAATCACTTGATCAATGCCGAGGTTAATAGAAAGTCGGTCGTGGGAGTTAGAGCGTTTTTAAGCAACGTGTTTCGAACAACCACCGATGTGTGCACCGGAAGACAGAAGAAGGAAGAATCCTTGAAATTGGCTCCGCGAATAGCCATTTACATTGGCTATGATGCTATTGCTCTTCGGGATAGGTCTAGAAGAAAAATCACATCCCCAAACGACAATCCTAATGATAATAAGGTCCAGTTTACACTGTCCTTAATTTTCAACGAAATAGGTGCAGCTATAAAACGTTGCTTGAGAAGGCCGGTTTAGAGAATTCGCTAACAGTAAGTAAAATATCAGCGAACACTCTAAGACGCCAGCTAGGTCTCAATGTATGACCAATGTGCAACGCAAAGTTGCATAATATGGCCTTACAGTAGAGACGATGATGGTATGAATTCGGGTACGATTCATTTGATCTCTTAAAAAGCGTGTTGGGAACTGTTGCATTGACCTAGAAGAACGGCTTTCCGGTGAATCTAAAGTTAAGCCAGAAACTTTGACAGGCGCGCATACACAGCGACATAACGTGAAGATTTCGAAGTACAAGCTACCGTCCTCGCACATAAATCAAGAACTGAAGCGCAAAACTCTCGAAGCATTCTGGATAAATACCAAGAATCCTACGTCATCACGAGTGATCTCACACGGTATTTAAGACTGATATTTTAACGTGAGAGGCACATTACGCTTCCATGTGAACCCTACGCCGTTGATCTCCATGTGAAATACCTAGTGGAGGACTCATAGAAAGCGTGGGTTGCGAAAAAACTATTTTGCTTACAGTGCGATTGGAATCTTGGTTTGGTATTTCCTCCGTTTTGTTATAGACGTGTTTGTCGGGTAGGGTGCAGTGAACATGATCTTTTCAGGCTCTGGAGAAAGCGAAATTGACCCAAAAGTCGGGATTACCGTAATAAAGAGTAAAGCAACACTCGTCTTTGCTCCTTAAGAGTACAGTAACTTATAACAATAGAATTTATGAATCTAGTGTCGTGCAAATCTATATCGACCTCATAGATGTTCTTCATGGTGCAAGCAAAATTCTTCATGTGCATGTCCTTTGAAGAGTCGTCTAGAGGTAATACCTAAACACTGGAGATGCCTAAAATTACTGGACACTTGTCGAAAAAATTTACGTACTTCGCAACCGGACCCGATTTCGTACAATGAAATAAATCAGAACAATAAGCGCAACCTTCATCGACAAAGCCGCGTAGTGTTTTAGGCTTATTGCTGCGATGTAGGCCCGGTGAGTTTATTCCAAGCAGGCCATTCAAGCTGAGCAGTTCGATATTTCCATTGTGAAGACAACTTTTAGGTTCACAAGAGCCTAACGAACTACTCTGGCTACCTTTTATTGTCAGAAACAGTGATAAAATTGGTTCATGTCAAAAATTTAGTACTCCTCATGTCTGAAGGGGATTACACATGTTGCAGTGAATCGTAACAACAGAATTTTTTGGACCACTTGAGGCGCGACCATTGTCTTAACATCGGGTATATTTATTCTCGTCTGACCAATTTCTAGAAATTCTAGTAATATTTTGAAGCTTTGGCTCTGCAGAACCTTGTAGCCATAAACTACTAAAGTGAACTAATTTCCATTTATGGCAAAGAATAATGTCCAGAAGTAGTAGAAAGGACAAATATAGTCGTTTCACCTATCTCTCAGCTAGCTCTATTAATTTCCACCATCAGCAATCACTCGTCAGCAGGATTGATCTGGGGAACCCACATCGGCATTGAACCCAGTTAAGCTGAGGCTGTCGTTGAATTCACAATGTTTACTTTTTATTTTCTGGCTTCTATTATTTTTATGGCAGGGTATTAAGCGAAATACAACTACAAGATTGCTGAGATATTTACAAAACTCTGGACCGCAGGTGTCTGTGGTGGGGAATGAACGCGCTATTGTCCTTTCAGGGGAGTAACGCGTTCACCACCACACCATGAGGGTCCTTCGTTTTCAATGCCGATATAGGTTCCCCAGATCAATCCCGTTAACGGGTGACTGCTGACGGCACAGATCGATAGAACTAGCTGAGAAACAGACGAAACGAAGGACCTGCATGGTGTGGTGGTGAGCGCATTACTCCACTGAAAGAACAATAGCGCGTTCGTTCCCCACCACAGATACCTGCGGTTCGGAGTTTCACAAATATCTCAGCAATATTGTGGTTGCGTTTTGCTTAATACCTTGCCGTAAAAATTATAGTAGGCATAAAATAGAGAATTAACATTATAATCGTTTCATTAATTACCTTAGCAAACAACATGAGCAGATATTTTCATCTTTCAGCAAACACCGCTGCAAAGCGGTAATATCGGAAAGAGAAGAACATATCAATATAAAATAAAACATAAATACAGCACAAATAAAAAAAGTCACTGTGCTTGAAAGCCAGCTTTTATCAAAAATCAGCTTACTCACTGAATTTTCATCCCATTAGGGAAAGCAGCGAGCGTGAAGCACAGTGGTTAGACGTACTAGGCAATACAAAAGTGGACTTTGGTACGATCCACCGAACTGGTCCAACCAAGCCCTCAATCTCTGCAGTTTCGTCAGATTTATCTAGGAGTACAAAAACACTCTACAAGGTAACCGCCGCAATGCAATCAATGTATGGATCAAATATACATTTGACCAAATCTGCGATGCTACGAATTGAGTCGAATGCGTGACGTGCATTTCAGGCATTGGTGACCACCAAATACTTTATCATTCATTATCCTTTACAGTGACAACGAAGGACAACTGCTATGAGCGTATAATGATTGAGCGATTGAAGAAAAAAAAGAGAAAAGACGTTTAAAAAATAAACATCATACAATTAGTGGCAAATTTTAGTTCATGGAAATGATGTCACAGGTAAGGGAAGGTAAGAAATCAGATAAAAACGCTTCTTTAGAGACTTAAATACGACGAAAACAACAAGCGAGGGTCGATTACGGAATAATTATATAAGGTAAAGGTGAGAAGTAAAATTAAAAGATTAATTAATAGAAATTCAGTTAGTCAATCATTGAAGAATAATTGGCGCTAAAGTTGTGATCGTTGCAGTTTCCCTACTGTATATTGGAGACAAGGGTTTACAGACACTATTCTAACACAGCCAGCTACATGTAGAGTGGATGGATCCGACATAGAAATCAGAACTACTAACCAACTCGATGAGGGTTAGGTAGAGATTTATTTCGTGACAGTAGACCCAAGGTAATTTTCTTAGTTTAGAGGGAAAAATAACTTCTTATGGATCACTGGAAATCTCTGAATGTATGATCATCTTTACTATATTATTGCAAACACTATGCCTTTACTTATATATTTATGCTATTTTATGATATTCATTACCACAGTAGAAAGAATCCGCATACTACCACATTTCTTGCTTCATATTTTCATCATTATCTTAACGTTAAAGTGAAAAATCCATGAAGGAAACCGGTAGAGGTGATGAATCGATACCCCATCTTAAAGCATGAAAATCATCAAGAGTTTCTCAAAAGAAGAAAAACTATTTGAGTTGACGAAAAGTAAGTCTAAATGGTTTGTAGCGCTATGTCTTGAACTACCTTGAAAAAAAACGTCAGTCAACCTTTGGCTTTTCAGGAAGATCTATTTGCGCCGGAAAGGCAGGTTCTTTTCCAGGTTAATGCGGCTAGCCAACTTTTTCTTTTCAATTTCTTTGCAAAAAGCCTTACATATAAAGGTCGAAGTTCTACCGTAGTGTAAGTTCTACAAACGTGCTTGGTTTATCCAAAACTTGTAGGGGGCATACGGTAACGCAACACATATCAAACATTGCTTACCGTAATCCGTCTCATGTCAATTACTTTGTGGTGACTAGCGATAAAATAAAGCACTAAGCCATCAATCAGTATAGTTCAGTTATATGACTTGTTAATTATGCATGGATATTATACCTGAGAAGAGCAAAAGGTGTTTGTGAATCGATTTGGTTAATGCTAGTTTGATTAGACAGCCTCCATCCACTCCAAAACGTAGAATCACAAGTACTCTTGCTAAAGATAGTCACCGAACTAATGGCCGACCTAGCCGATGCTGTCTATCCCAGCAATCTGGCCAATGTTTTAAATTTCTGCTCAAGCACCTCGACTCGTGTTTCCAAACGCATATGATCAGCTTTCAGTTGTCGATTGTCCTTTCTCAGTTGAGCGTTCTGCTGCTGTAACTGCTCGAGTTCCCATTTAAGCTCGTCGCGAGCCTGGATTTATTACAAGTACGTACATCACTAATCCGCAGCTCTCGCTTCAAATTCTATACCTCCTAGGCACTTAATAAGGAAGTATGAACTAAATGGGATGACCACAGTTTCTTGTTCACTGGGCATAACACTATTAGTGCTTTTCTTTCATGGAGTACTACCTCTGAACTCCATCCATGTCTAATACTTAAAAAGTTCCTCGACAATATATTGCAACTAGAACAAAAATAAATTAAGCAAAAATAATACGGCAGCATTGTGAGCAATTTTAAACTCAATAGTTTAAAATGCATGTGTTCGAGCTAACCTTACTCGTATCCTTTTCAAGCTTCGTTACTGTACTCTCTACAAGGAAGGAGTCAAGTCGAAGAATTCGCTGAGCAGCCTTCAATCGTAAGCCTTCGCCAAGCCTAAAATGCTCATCTTAGTCTCAAAAACGAAAACAAATAAGCAAATAATAAAAGAAAAACTTTGAAAAAAGCTGGTTCGCTAACTCTACTTATCGGTACTGATTGACTGACACAGGAAAAAAGTGGAAATTTTTGACACGACGTTACAAGAGTCCGATAGTTGCTATGCAGTTCGTGTTTGGACCTCAGGTTAGTATCCAATAGTGAAAAAAGTCGGTCTTTGAGTAATCCAATAGTGATTGGTAGGGTTTTCTGGGTGGATTGCAGATGGTACACATAGTACACCTAGAGTAAATTGAATTTACTGGACTACACATGCACGCGACAGGGACAAATGGAGACTTCTGGCTCACATATGAATCACTCGACGAAAACAGAAGGACATTGAGATGTAAAGTATGAATCACGATGAATGAAGAAATTCTATCCTTGTGATGGTAGTGGTGTTGGTATTGGTGGTAATGGTGGTGGTGAGAATGAACCGCGCTGTAATCGAGGCTCTATAGTCGCGACGATCCCAATAACAATTCTTGATAATGCTTCTTTGATAAACAGCATTCAATATATCTTACTCCTTCCATCACAGTGGGTTGTCTTTAAAGAACCTCATCCTGAAATTAACTACCGCCCACATGTAAGTATTTAATGGAATGACAACAATTAAAAGCAACGCCACATTATTGTAGTCGCATGGATGGCCCCTCAATGAGATTAACTTGTTAAAGGAAACTTCCATGTACTTCCATTCATTTCACAAAAATAAAACACAACGTGACTTGCAGAAAAATATGCACTTGCGCAATATTTCATTCTATATTCTTTCTGTACTTATCAACTACAAGTTGCAAGACACGAGGTACCTTTCTTCCATGATTCGTTCCATATACGTGCGATAGTGAAGCGCAGCCTTTTTGGCGAGAAGAGCGACGGGCTCCCATTTCACTGTGTCCTTAAAATGGCAGAAAGTCGGAATAATATTCATAAGTAGAGAATCAAAAGCAAGAAGATAAGAGATCCTAATGATAGCCTTCGAAAAGAACATGGAGAAATTCACAATGCTAACTTTTTATTTACTGCCTATTCTTTTACGCCAGTACTATATGAAACACAACCACAAGGATACTGGGACATAAAGAAAACTCGGGCCCTCATGTGGGCTTCGAACCTTTCCTTTGTTAAAATGTAATCCACCACACGAATCGAAGCTCTCGACCTATCTTTCTCTTAGCCAGCTTTCAGCCAGCCAGCCAGCACTTTAACAGTGCTATCAGTAATCAAGCGTCATAAGACAATCAGAAAGAAAAACAAGAAGAAAAAGTAGAACCACAATATTGCTGAGATATTTGCAAAACTCTGGACCGCAGGTGTCTATGGTGGGGAACGAACGCGCTATTGTCCTTTCCGGGGGGGAGTAACGCGTTCACCACCACACCATGCGGGTCCTTCGTTTCGCTTGTCTCTCAGCTATTTCTATCGATCTTTGCCGCGAAATTATAATAGGCAGAAAATAAAAAGGTATAACATTGTGATTTCAACTACAGCCGCAGCTTAACTGGGTTCTATGCCGATTTGGACGCCCCAGATCAATCCCGCTGACGGGTGATTGCTTAGTACTCGCTTAGTACCCTGCCGCGAAATTATAATAGGCAGAAAATAAAAAGGTATAACATTTAGAAAAAGTATAGTTCGCATATTATAAAACAAAGCAGAGTTGATAATAAAGATTTGAAAAAGAAGAAAAAAGTAGGGTAAATAAAACTGACCTGGTCTCCACCGTGCAACATAAACTCTATTTGATCCAGTAGCGCATTTGTCTTGTCGAGAATCGCCCCGTACGGAAAGCAGCACACACCTACTCTCAACAATTTTCAGATTTATAGCTTCTTCTTAAAACGACTGAAAACTCCAAAATAGTTCCTTTCAAAAAATGTGATTCTTTTCTTCGCCAAGTTTGAAAACTCAACGTGCACCTAGAAATCCGTCGCTTTACCACATTTCTGTTCCAAATCATCGTTTACGTTCCGGTTTTACAGAAGTCATGAACACAACATTTTTAGAAAAAAGCAGCAGCAACTGGTAAAATAAGTCGATTTCTTCTATTTTTCCTTTTTTTTCTTTTTTATTTCTTTTTTCTCCTTTTTCTTTTTTTATTTTTGCTCCAATATTGGATTTTATCGGACGCCTGCTTCTATGCAGAAACACCAACAAAAAACAGCTGTAAACGATTGTTGCAACATTCGATTACGGTAAAGCCGAAAAGCATAATATTTGGAAATATTTGCAAACGTCTCTCCCAAACGTTGATACCACGAATTGCTCAGATTTATTGGACAGTCGATAACCTTATCCATTAAAAATGAGAATTTCCATCGCTCGAATAGCAGCGTTTTTCTAAGAGGTTGTTACTACTTCTGCACTGCTGAGTGTTGAGTTAATTCGCCTTGATTTTCCATCAAAATTTAATTGAATCGGGAAACGTGCTTACCTTCATCCAGAACGGCTCGCATAACGTCGACTGGATTGAGGATATGCACCTGAATGCTGGTGAGCACGGTGGTTGGAAAATGAAGCCTTGGATTCGCTGGCAGTTGGCGTTGTAACGTCATCAACAATTTGTCCGACCTTAACGAGAAACTTCTACTCCATGATACCGTAACTGTTATAATCATTTAGACGTCACCTATCCAGTAGTCTATAATAGGCACCGTTAAGCAATTGTCCACAAATCTCATCCCAGTGTGGATGAACAACACGAAGCAGACCCAACTGTAACAACGTTTGACAGATTATCATAAAACGAACATATTAAACTAAGTGACAAAAATCGTAAAGCGTTGGATATTAGTCAGCCCTTTAGAGATCTGTCATGCATTCGACTTCATTCGTAGTATCGTAGAGGTGAATGAATGCACATATGACCTATGCCTATACTTATACCTGACCAGTGACTTGCATGGTTGTAGCCAATCAGTGTACTAATGCAGATAGATTGCCGACCCAAGATAGATGGCGGATTTGGCTGTCCCGGAACTCGGGATCGGACCAATGATCTGCGTGCGTTTCAGGGCATGTGTAATCACTGCGCGGTACGTTCATTGTGATCCAGTTAATCACAGACAAACACATGTGTGAACCAGAAAAGTGAGTTGCTGACGTCCATTTGTGAGTCCAAGTTGTTGACGGAAATCCGTTTGTTCAAAGGACACTGGGAGCAGCACGCTTTTCGTAAGAACCCTTCTTTAGCTTTTCTAGAGAAAACTAAGTTAGTTAACAGGTGGACTGCACGGTTCTTTCTACTGCTTACATAAGTTTATTGCTTTGTTACACTTTGGAATATAAAAGTCTAACTCTTCAATTTGCGTGATTAAGGATAATTTCCAACACGACGACGTAGGTAAAATATTGAGGGGTAAATAATTGATTAAAATATAAGGATACTGTAAAAAATCATTTGTGCACCACTTGTTCAAATATTTTACAAAGTGATAACAACATAAGTAATAATGATTCTCTACAACACCGAGCGGAAAAGTGTTTAATTTAACACTTACAGGCTGACGCATGTGAAAACGCACTCATTTTCTTATCAGCCGTTTACTTCATCACACAAAGGTTTTTGTTTTACATTAACAGCTTGCCCGACGAGTTATAAAGCTATCTCTGTTTAATAATCCCGCCCTTTTCACAGTCCCTCAAATTCTTTAGTTATTTAAAAATCGATGGGAGTAGGGAAGAGACTGGTATTGGGAGAAGCTAGTATTTTAACTTATTATTTACTGCCTACTCTTTTTAATCGCAGGGTATATATTGCGAAATATAACTTCAATGATGTTGAGATATTTGCAAAACTCCGGACCGCAGATATGTGCAGTGGGTAACGAACGCGCTATTGTCCTTTCCGGGGAGTAACGCGCTCACCACCACACCATGCAGGTCCTTCGTTTCGCCTGTCTCCCAGCTAGTTCTATCGATCTTTTGCCATCAGCAATCACCCGTTAGCGGGATTGATCTTGGAAGCCCAAATCGGCAACGAACCCAGTTAAGCTGAGGCCGTAGTTATAATGACAATTTAACTTATTATTTACTACCTACTTTTTTTAATGGCAGGGTATTTGTCCCCGGAAAGGACAATAGCGCGTTCGCTTCACACCGCAGACACCTGCGGTCCGGAATTTTGAAAATATCTCAGCATCATTGAAGAAACTACTATTGTCTATTATGTGCCTACGAGCACATAAATATGAATTTTCGCCGACGATTGGTTAATACTTCTTTTCTATTCACTCCGATGGATCTTTGATATCTTATGGAACGGTTGTGTAAAAAAAAAACATGGTTCATAAATGTCATATTGTAAAACAGACCATTAAATGCCGACAGCAACGTAGTTGCTTAGCGAACGAGTGCCTTTTTTTGTCACCAATAAAAGTTCGAAGTGTTTTAAAAGCATCGCGGAATAAATAGAAATTTAACGATATGTGGAAAACATAAACCAGCATAATTAGTGAGCAAAATCCACAGAAGAATTGGGTTATGAACAGAAGGGCGCAACAAGAAGTGCGAAACCATTTGCTGGGTAGTGCGTAATGCTCGACGTGAATTGAAACCCACTCATAGCGAATGCGTCGAACAATAAGCGTCAAAAAAATGCGTCATTCACCAAAATTCAGGTATAGGTCCTTAAAGACTGAAGGATGGCTAGAATATCTTTAATATCTTGAACCAAACTGAAAAAGGAAAAGTATAGAGCTCTCCGCTTTCATACATCCCTGAGAGCCATGCATTCCACTTCACTAAGTATCGTTAGAATGCATATCTGCCTCTTATAATCACTCTAGGTGGCCTATCATTGCGTTGAATCAGGAGCTACTATCCCCGAATGGATGGAAGGCTTGGTGAGCCTGGTGAGCGGGACCGAACCCATGTATGCTGCAGGGCGCCTCTAACCACTGTGCTATAGGCACCTCTAAAAGAAACTGAGCATATAGTATTATAAACCCTTTCTACGCTATAAAATGATCAAGATTTTAGATAAGTCAAAGGCTTTATGAAAAATACAATTTTACAGGATATGGTACTTAATTTTTCACATGGAAAATGAACGTTTAGAAAAATTAGAGAAATGGTGAAATGAGAAGAAACACTCCCACCTCTTCATAGCTGAAATATTTGCCGAAGATCAGTTGAAGACAGAGAACGGGAACTTCGAAAGGGTTTCCGTTAGCTCTGCTGACCGTTTCCTGCTTGTGAGTTGGCACTGGAGTTACGGATCGCTCTTTACGATCTTTGCCTAAAATTCTTATAAAGCTATAAAATCGTGTAAAAATCTATGAAAATTCGTGACAATGAGAAAATTTTGTTAGTCTCTAAAGTGGATTAGAAGTGATAATTTCAGCCAAAAAAATTAGTAGTTTCCATGTGAAAGGAGCCTTAGCGAAGCGACACCATCAACATATATCCGAATTAGCAAAGCTTTTCGGAAATTCAATGAAGGAGATAGAAAAAAGTGGAAAAGTACGATGGCACTCACTATAGATGCAAAAGTTAACGGTGGAGATGGAGCTCGCATCTCGTTGATGATCCACACTGTAGCAACCAGTATCAAATGGTAAACTAGGAGAACTATTTTGTTAACAAAGAGGAGTCCTATACAACATTGGTAACTGACAATAAATTTAATCTACTTCTTCTTTGGCATCTGGAAACGCTTTACTCGAGTCATCCTTTGTGGACCATCCCAACACTGTGGATGAAGAACAGCTATATCTATCTCAGACACAAAACAGGCTTTCAAATATGATTCGGCACGGTGAGTAACACCCATATAACAACGAAACTTATCCAGCACAGGTCAAAGCCATTTTTTTACCTTCACTAATTTAAATACGGCTTTTCATTCATTTAAGGAAAAATAGGTCACAGAAGCTCTCTATCTGGTAAATGCACAAAGATCCTTCATCAGTTATTTACGAACTTCAGAAACCAGAACTTCACCATCCTACAACTATATTGTCACCTGAGCAGAATGTGGGCGTTCTACGAAGAGATACTACAGATCAAATTTGTTTATCAGCACTTCAGGGAACGCCATGCGAGAACTGGGATGAAATAACATGAAAGTGAAAGTTGATAAACAACCGGATGTTTCTTCGATTTTGATGTAGTTGCCCTAAAGCACATATTACATCCATCACATCCAGCCTGAGCCAATGCTGGCCGATTTTAACAGCATCTGTGCAAAAAAAGCGGTAATCGATTAAACCAGGATAAAACGACGTTAGTGAGAGACAGATTTGTTTCCGGTGCATCTCTCGAGCTCAAGAAAAAACTATTGTAAAAGTAGGGTAAAAGTTCACTCAGTGTTTTCGAACTCATTGTCGAAATGATGATACTAGCAGTATCTTCCATCATTCATGTGGAAGAGATAGAGAGAGGGGCATAGAGAGAGGGAGAGTACGAGGTTCCAAGCTTCCTACATCAACTTTCACGGATTAACGAACTGGTACAGTAGTTGAAAAGTTGAATATCAAGTAAGCCGGACATATGGTCCATCCCGGCGATAACTGGCGTACAACAGCCATTGTTACCACGTTGTATTAAATGAAAAGCAGGAAAATCAGCAATCGAAGAGGCAGACTTCTTCATGGATAGTCGGACGGAAACTGCCACTGTGGACCACACTCTAACAAACGGTAGCTTAGACGTTTACTTCTGAGGTGCAATAGGAACGGGCAGTTTTCTGAAGCAGGCTTGAATCATTTGATGCTTAAGGGAAGGACATGTAATTCAGCAGATATTTACGCCTTCTTGTTATTATTTAACAGATTTTGAAAAATAAAGTTGTGAAACGAAGTAGAATGAAAGAATACATGTTGACTAGTCAGACTGAGGTTAAATGAAAGTCGGTTTTTGAATTATTGTTACGCTCTGTTTTAGCTGATAATGACATCGACTGGTTATTCGGGAGAAAAACAAACCATTATCAATGGACAACCACTATCAACAACAACCGCCCTGTATAAAAAGACACTGGCCAGTGAGGTGTTTCACTCGATCGGTATTTAACTACAGTGAATGCAATACGATCACGAAGACCCAAATCAAAAGAAAGAAGAACTATGGATTCGAATCAGTCTGGGTTTGAAAAAGGTTAAGGAGCCGACATGTTAGCCGAATAAAGGTTTTCAATCACGTGTTAGATTCTCAGTGAGAGAATACATGAGACGAAGTAGGTTAAGGCATAAAAGAACTGAATTCTAGTGAATATGTCATAAACCATACAGGATAAAGACTCGAATAAACAACGACAATAAGTTTCTTGGGTTAAAAAGGCGTCAAAAAGTGTCTCTGGAAAAAGTCACCGGTTTCCAGAAATGCTTTGTTGTGATCGTATCCGGCAGAATTCTCTTAATCAGTCGAGATAAGTTACTCTACTAATGGGTGGTCGCTCGTCGAGGGCGACTCACACTAACCTTCGTATATTGGGTCCAGTTTTTTTTCTGGTGTCGTGCTATTTCTCCTCAACAGTAAACGCGACGCCGTTGTCGATTTCCACTATAAGAATGAAATTATTTAGAAACATATGTGAACAAGTACTTTTAATTCTTTGCCTTCGTATTAAAATACTTTTATGTCCTTTTTATAACATTTCGCGATTTTTATTCTTCAGAAAGGTGCTCATTCCTCGGTATTTCGTTTTTCTTCTCCATTCATACTACGATACTTCGACGGCACGCCCTCACTAGTTGTGCAGGCCCCTGCATAAT